TCCCATAGAATCAGATAATTCCATGCAAACTGCCAAGGAAGAAAACCAAGCTGTAAAGTCTATGAACCACAGCAATGATCAGCACAGCAAATAGTCTCTTCTAGTGGAATAGTGGCGTACTTATCTTGGGGATAGTCAACAGCTGTCTAATTGGGCTGAAAGCCCATTCATCGGGAGGGAACTTGTATGTGGTACTATAAACATAGCCAGATACATATGGCTGTAGTGGTCCTAGATCCTAAGAAAAACCTACTTTTGTCATGTTCCTAGGCCAGTGTAATTTCTTACTGTATTCTAAATATGTATCCTTATATTTACAGTGTACCTCTCACTGCTCATCAAAGAAATTTCATTTTGCAACAGATGGAGACTATAAGAAAAATCCACAACTATGCAAACTCAGAGAATAAGTGTCTGCGAGGTGCCCAGCACTAAGTGACACATCTACAATGGAACCTCCATACCTACGACTCAGAGGAGCTGGTAGAACAGTGGAAGAAAGAATTTTAATGCATCTCGTGACTCACCAGTAAAGCTTCCTCATGCAATAGATGGTGATTATCCCAGAAAACCACACCTGGCCAAAGTACAGAGAATAAGAAAGTACAGAGTGATTATCCCTGAACAGGACACCTATATCAAACCTCTGCTACCCAAGGCTCAGGGAACATTGTGGAAGAGGGAGAAGGAAAGACTGTTAAGAGCCAGAGGTGCTGGATGACCACAAGGAAGCAGAGTCTTTCAGACAGGAAGTTACTCACATGAATTTATAGCAAAGGTAACACCATGCAAAAGATTCATACAAGCTCAGAGCAGACAAAATTCCAGCATAGAAGTAGGGAAGTGGATAAGAAGCCCAACCTTAGCTGAGGAACCATTAGCCATCAATAACTACTGGGAGAGGAATAGATTGGTTTTCTCTAAGGACATGACACTAGAGATGTTAGCCAGGCTCCAGCAGATGGACATACACCAAAGGACATTTGGGGACACAGAGTTGGCTCGATAGGCCTTAACGTGTATGATAGTGTACCTCAAATCTAGCAGGGAGGCTATAAGAGAGATACAGATAGGTGAGAGGGTCTAAATATGATCAAAACATGTTGTATGAAATTCTCAAAATTTAAAAAAAAATTTGTAAAACCATCATCAGTTAATGTATAAGAAGTCAAGTAATATAAATCATCGATAAATATTTGAAAAAGAAATTCACCCCAATTTTCTCTCCATTATAGTTTTGGAAAAGAATGAACACATAGATGTTTTCCACATGAGAAGAACATAGAGAAAGAGAGACTTCTACACACCTCTGATGAATACCCAATTGGTAGGTTTCTACAATGAAATAGACAATATTTATGAAAATCTTTAAGACACACATGTCTATTAATCTGATATCATCAATTCTAGGAATTTACTTAAAATAAATTAATTTACAGGTTTAAAAGATATGTATGTACCACAGTTAATGAATGTAAAAAAGTATGAACAATGTCTTTTTAATCAATTAGAAATTGGATGATGGAATTGTAGCCAATTATACCATGAAATAGTATGCAACAGAAAGAAAAACAGAGATATAATTAGATGATAGATGATAGACAGATAGTCACATATGATGTTCTCAGTGATTTATTTAGAAAAAAGTAATGTAGAAAAATGTATTGTTTATGACACTGTGTATATTGAAATAATAAACACCATATTATATCTGTACAAACATACAGGATACATAACGGCATATTATAACAATATATTAAGTACAGAGAAACACTGTATGAGAAAATGAACATCAAGGGTTACTAGTTATTTCTTGAGACAGAAATGGCTTTGAAGGAGAAATGGGAAAGAAGATATTTTCCACTTTGCCCTCCATGCATCCTCATCAATTTTAATTTTTTAAAGGAGAGAATCCACTTGCTTGCACAATTTAAACAAAATGAAAATTGTTTGTGTGTAGATGAACAGATGGAACTTGGGGTGAGGGTGACTGGGTAAGATGCAGTGGCCAATACAAAACCCCAGCTGTGTTTCTCTTGCTAACCATAGTTCTATAGTATGGATGCCAAGCTCTGGGAAAAATAAGAACTTCAAACAAAGGATTAAGTTACAGATGCAATTCTGGTGGCCAAATCAGGATTAGTTTCTAGGAGAGAACAGTCCAGAACAAAGAAAAACTGAATCCAGCTCCCTGGGTAGAACGTTAGCACCCCAGCAGAGAACTCTTTCCCAGGCCTTGAAAATCCTTTGACTGCCCTGACAGTTTCTGCTTCAAATGAGTAGATGGCCAGCTCCCAGAATGGCCTCACCATCAGTCACTGATGGGTTAAGACAACAGCTCGAAGTCCAAAACAAAGTTCTACTGGGATATGATAATTTGCTATGATGCCAAATTCTAAATGAAAGAAATTATCCCTTAAAAAATAACAGTAGCACAATCCCTCTAAAAGAACTGAAGTCTCAGCTAATTTTGGGAGGGAATTATTTAGATCTGACGTTCTTTGCTCTATAAATCCTCCAATTTAGCAACTCATTGACCAAAGCATGATCCAATCAAAGTCTCTTTGAAAACAGGATGCTGATCCATTTTTCCCTAGAGCTGTAGTTTAACTGCAATCCTATAAAATATCCAAAAGAATCTTATGGCAATAAAGCAGAGATTCAGACTGGAACAGAAAGCACTGCTGTTTGCTGTAGACATAAGGGGTGAGATTATCATGCATTTATCAAAGTGGAATGGATTCTGACCAGCGTGAGGGACAGTATGACAAGTTTTATTATGGCATAATAACTTAGAAGCCTAAGTGAAAATTGAAGGACAAAAGTGCTTTTGAAAGAGGCAAGGTAGTCTTAACATCGATTACAGCACTATGTAATCAATTCTGATTCTAAAGACATGTTTTTCCACTTGCTTTTAAAGCTATAACACCTTTCTGGGAACTCTATAATGATAAAATATTTGATATTTGTTTCATTTTTGTGTTTGGTGAAGATCATTCCCTTAACTATAGTTTACTGAGGACCTTGCATACATGCATACACATATATACATATATGTCACAATTTAACAAAGATACAGTCCCTAAATTCATGAATACAGACATTATATTATCTCATATACTATCTTCAACATGTGTTTACAATATACATATAAGCTAGATACTGGGAAACACAAAATTTAAAGAAAGATAATATCTATACACAGTGAAGATTATAGTAAGTTCAATAATTGAAGTTAAAACCAAGTGCTAAAAGATTTCAAAATGTGAGACAACTAGATGCAGGAGGGCATCATAACAGCTTTCATTTGTTTTTTTTTTCTATTCACAGCAATCATCTTCACTTGGAGCTACCAACAAGTCAGCACTGAATAAATGTGATAACATGCTAAGGAATATGACAGACGATGAGAATACAAGTTAAAATGACACCCGTGTCTTAAGGAAGCAAACTAGTAAGGACGTATGTTCTAATAAAAAAGAATTGGAACACTCAGAAGGAAACTTCCTCATCTGCATGAGAAACTCTAAAACTCCCAGATTATAAACACTCCTCAGTCAGATTATGATAGAGGACAAGAAACTGAAGGCAGGAGAAAGAGCTCATTGCAATGCTATCAGACTGCACGATGGGAGTGGACAATACTGGATACAGTTCAGGAGTATGAAATGAATGAAAGAATGGAAAAAGTGAAATGGGTTTGCAGGTGTGTGGAGGGCTTTGTGTGTGTGAACAGTTAAGAACTTCAGAGCTGAGGGTTACATGCAGGCAAAGATGAGAGAATGGAGGGTTTTTTCCTTGCAAGCTACTTTGCTGGCCAAATAGAGAGTGGAGTGGAATCAAACCAGTCTGAGAATGTGGAGTCATGGTAGACACTCTTTGCAGTAGTTTTAAGGGAAGAAGATGAGATTTTTTTTTAATTAGAGAGATGGCAGCTGAGATGAAGGGGTGAGATGGTGAACTTCTTTTGATGGGAGAATCTACAAAATTGGCAGTCACTTCATTTTTTAAGGGGAAAGGAGATTCACATGAAGGTAACACAGTTTGAAGGAAAATTTGAAGCTGAATCTCTATCCAAGTTTTATACTTTGTCCTATAGTGTTCCCTCTAGCATGGAACAAAAATTCACCGAGTCTCACAGGCTGTGCCCAAAGAGCTTATTATCTCCTTTTCTCTTTGTAGCCAAGTATCTTGAAATCCAGCATATTTTAACTGGAATTTTTAGTCAGAAATTATGCAAAATGGACATTTTATACAGATACAGAAGACAAGCATTTTAGAGATTAAGAAATTTGCCTAAGTAGTATATATAGTCTGCTCAGAATTCAATTTAGACTACCTGATTCTAGTCATTTTTCCCACCATATTGAAAATATACTATTGAGAGCTGGGATGGTAGCTAAGTGGTACAATGTACAACGTATGCTCAATGTGAGGCTCTGAGGTAGATCCTCAACATCTCAAAATATGAACAAAATATCCTATTAGTATCGTCAAATGGGTGTAGACATAAATTTAATGGAAATTTTCTGTGTACTTGATATTCTTCAATTAGTGTATACTTACAATTTAATGAGTTTCTTTAATATTAAAGCAACTGTAGGCAATGAGCTGTGCCTGTTCACTATTTTACCAAAGCAACAATTCCTCATCCCCACATCCATTTTTTTCACATTGAACTAATGAGATCTTTGGGCATTCTTAAGGTGTGACATATGGAGTATCCAGTAAGAAGAATTAAATCCATCGAGTACGTGATTTGAACGAAAGTTTAATGGGAGACATTGTCCAGTTGCACAGGACCATTGGGAAGTAACCATCAACTCTTCGTCCATATATAGATTTCCCAAGACTTCATAGTTGGCCAGTATATGTTAACAATTGACACCATCTCTCAGAGAAATTCAGGGCCCACCATAGATTTTGTTAGGAAGTGGGGAGGCAGATAACAATAATAATAATAATAATAATAATAATAATAAATGCATAGTGTTACTTACTTTATCCCTAGAAAAGCTGAAAAGTTGCTTTCTTTCAGCAAAGAATTGGACTGCAGTGACACTGGCTGAGTGACCCCACAGGACACCAACTGGCTTAGAGACAAGGTAAGGATTCCAAAGGCAAACTTTGTTGTCGATGCCAGCTGTTGCTAATCAGAATTAAAAAGAAAAAAAAAAACAGTTATAATGGCAAGGGTAACCCTCAGTATTATCTTTTTGAAATAAATGTAGCCTATCTCTATGGGTTGATAAATAAATGCCTTCTGATGAAAAGTAATGCAACCCTGTCTTGAAGAAAATCTTTGTCATTTCCCAACTAGACTATGAGTTCAGTTGAATGAAGGAAATAGTGAGACACAAGCTGACAGTGGATCAGGGTATGTATATTCTAGATGGGAAAAATAGTCCATTTAGGGATCCTCTAGCAGCCTACCCCAAGAGGAGGGCACAATCTTTCTTCCTAGTCCCAAAGTTTCTTATCTCCAGGGCACAGTACAGAAGTTCAGATAGCGATAGAGCTGTTTCCAGAGCAAGAAAGAAGTAGTCACAATTCACAAATCATAAATGAAAGCATTAGGAACAAATTATTTTCATCACCATTTAAATAATCAAGCACATACAAGCAAACAAATATCACAAATATTTTTGCCCTAGTTTATTGATAGGATAAAGTACTTTTAATCATGACTTGTTTATATTCAGAGAACATTTTAAAAGCAAAATTTCAGAGCTGGAGAGATGGCTCAGCAGTTGAGAACACTGGCTGCTCTTGCAGAATACCCAAGTTCAAATCTAGCACCCACGTGTGGCTAATACCCATCTGTAACACCAGTTCCAAGGGATCTGATGCCCTTTCCTGTCCTCCATGGGCACTGCACAACATGGTTGTACTTATATACATGCAGGCATAACACACATACACATAAAATAAAAATAAATTCAAAAATTAAAAATAAAATAAGAAGTATAGAAGGATTAAGTAACTAATGAGCCAATGAATTACATGGGCAATACGTGAGTCGTTGCAAAATTAATTCATCAACCTTTCCACCTTTCTCTGATAAATCGATAGTTTTCTTGGAAGTTTGTATTGCATCTCTCTGGGCCTATATTTAAGGCATTGTATTATGAGCTATTATTGGGAATTTTAAGGGTTTATCCCCTTAACTAACAACAGCATTCTTTATGTGAATGACAGCTATTGAATGTGCGTTCATATGACCCATACCATTTGCCCTATAGGTTCTTGATAACTAGCCTATTAACTTTCAGTAATACATCTCATTTTCAGAATACTTGAGCTTACATATTTACATATCAAATTATCAGCTTTCAGAACATACAGGTATTTCATTTAAAAAGTTAACGCCTTAAAACATTTGTATTTCCTGTACCCTTCTTTTTTTTTTTTAATCCAAACAGTAATAATTCAACAAAGTAAAGCTAGGATAATCTGCAAATTTTGGAAGCTCATTATAATGGATTCTGAAAGATAATTGAAAAGGATTCTGCATTTTACACCTCTCCCTCTGTGTGTGTGTATGTGTGCATGCGTGCATGTGCGTGTGTGTGTGCATGTGTGTGTGTGTGTGTGTGTGTGTGTGTACGCATTTGCATGTGTTTGCCTGCGTGGCAGCAACAAAAGTGATGGATCTGTTGGGATGAAGCATTTGGTGGTGTTGGAAAGAGGGAAGACTAGCAGGTATGGCACAAACCGTCTTCTTTCTTTACATCATCCTCCACCTCTACCAATTCTAATAAAAAGACTCCATAAAGCATTGGGGTGCTTTCTCAAATTGTCACCCCAGTGTAATTCATACACACTACACATCATAATGCATCATTATCAAGCATTTTCAGGCAATAAAATGTGAGCTGCTTGTTGGTCTCTCTGGCAATAAGGCAGCAAGGAGGAGCAGCTCTCTGCATACCAATATGCATCCTGGACTATTTATGAGGCCCTCGTATTATCATGACTTATTTTACATACCAATTAAATTGAGCCGAGAGTGGTAATCAAAAGCGTGGATGCCCTGAGCAATGTTGAAAGATGTCATTTTAAGATGCTTTTTTGATTTCTCTCTCCAAGCCAGAACCATAGATCTTGTACTGCTGGTTGTGTTAGAAATGAAAGCATCTAAAGATGCATTGTAAGTAACTGAAAAAAAAATGGGAAAATCTTCTTTTATTGCTTTTTCATAAGATATTATGAAACAATATTAGCAAACAGAACTGTTTAAATATTCAGTGTTAAAATTGAATTCAGATTGTGATGATTCATCCACTTCTTTCCTCCCACCAATGAATTTACAGAAAGAGGTCACAACAAATACCCCATTCAGACTTTCCTCCCACTCTAGGGAAGCTTAATACTTTTTTTTTATGGAGCATATGACATTAAACAACACTAATCACTGTAATCACGGGGGATTCTGAAGACACAAACTGAGCAAAGTGATGAGATAATTTGTTCTTTCTCCTGAACCCAACGAACAAACTACCAACCATCTGCTGCTCCCCAAAGTTTCAGCTTATGCTCAAACAGTGGCTTCTTCAAATCCCGAACGTTTGAAAGTAGAATGAGCAGAATTCAGACCTGCCAAGATTCCCAAGCTCAGCTAAAAAGTCATATCAAGATATTTGTCCCTCTGTCAGATGTTGTGGAGCAAAATCCTAGTTTCCACACAAAGATAATGGGCTTTAGACCTTTGTCATGACAACTGTTTACTCCTGTGAGAATTTTCAAGCTCTCAAAGGTGAGAAACTGCTCTTTGACCAACTTCAAATCATGGCACCCTCCAGACAGATGGAGATCCTCTTTTGCATTTTGCTCAAATAATAATTTGTGCCTAAGGTTCAAAGATTTTCTACTTGACCCCAAGATCAAACTCCTGCCCCACACAAAGAAGCATATTGTCACTTTGTATTGCAGAAGGAGAGTTGCTTTAAGAGAAGAGCTGTTAAATTTTTTCTGCCAGTTGTTTGTTATATAGAATCAAGTGAGGCAGCCTTCAAGACAATTCTCAGTGGATCACAAGCCTTTCTGCACATCTAATGAAACTAAGCACAAGTTGCCCTTTACTCCAGATTATCTTTTCAAAGATATGTGCATAGCAAACAGCCTTGGAATGTAGAGATAGTGTCTCCCTTTGGAGCAAATGGCAGGCGTGTCTCCCATGCAGAATAACAAGTGCATCTTTTTCTGGAGCAGAAGGAGGGGTCAGTCCAATACACTATAAAAAGTTCAGATTCCCTAAATCTGGCTTTCTTCTCCCGCAATTTAAAACATACCTGTGCAGGCATGAATGTGCATTTGCAGACTTGTGGCGAGGGAAACAGAAACAAGTATATCAGTTCTTAAGCTGTTTGCCATCCTCTGAATCCCCCAGACCCTGGCATAGGAATCTATGGCCTCTGAACTGTAGGAGCCTTCTTTTTATTGATCTCTCCGAGTAAGCTCTATAACGTTGTACAGCATGAAATAATAAGCTTATTAGCTGACAGCTAATTGAAAAGAGTATGAAGGCCAGCAGGATAGCTCAGCAGGTCAAGGTGCCTGCCTCCAAGACTGACAACCCAAGTTCAATACCCTACAGGGTGGAAGGAGAGAAATGACTCTCACACACTGTCCTCTGACCTCCATACATGCATGGCCTGTGTCCCGCTTTGTTTCTTTGTTGCTGCAACAAAACACTCGGACCACTACCAACTTGGAGAGGAAAGGGTTTATTTAGCTTGCATCTCCCAAGTCACAGTTCATCAGGGAGCCCAAGGTAGGAACTCAGGGCAGGAACCTGGAGGCAGGAGCTGAAGTACAGGTCATGGAGGAACGCTGCTTATTGGCTTGCTCCCCTTGGCCCCTGCTCAATCTGCTTTCTTATGCAACACAGGCCCACCTGCCCATGGGTGGCACCACCCACAGTGGGCTGGGCCCTCCCACATCACTCATCAAGAAGATGCCCCTCAGACATGGCCACAGGCCAGTCCAGTAGAGGAAATTCCCCAATTGAGGCTCCCTCAACCCAGGTGTGTCAAGTTACCCAGCACAGCCTGTATCCTCACACAACCACAGACATTCACTCACACAGATACACACAAATTAATGAGCACATTTTTTTTGAAAGGAGTATAAAAGCTCAGAACCCTCACAGTTCTTAACAAGTGTTGTTATGTTTAAATGTTTATAGCTTCTCAAATTCGTATGCTGAATTCTGTCCTTCAAGGTAATAACAACATCGAGGAAGGGGGACTTTTGAGGGTGATTAGATGGTTATGACCTCAAGACTTGGATTAGTGCCTTCATAAAAGAGGTCGGAGGAAGTTTGTCCCTCCCACTATGTGAAGACATGGCTGGAAGGCACCATCAGTAATTCAAGAAGGGGCCCTTATCTACTGACAATTTAATCTTGAACTTTGCATCCTCGAGAACCATAAAAATGAATGAATGGTATCTACAAGCTTCTCAGCACATTTTCTTATATAAATATGTATATGTAAGTTTCAAAATAATTACTAAAGGCAAGGAAATTCTGAGAAGCAGAAGTACAAATCATTAAGTCCTTTTTCCTAACCTGTTCTATTGGGTTAATTGCTTCTAAAAGCAACTCGGATTTATGTATTCAAGAGCTTATATTGACATGAGAATAGCTTAATATATTTCATATCTGTCTCCCTAGAAAATAAATATCTCATATAACTAACTTATACTTAATGAGACTGGGAGTATTCAGTGTCACCTACAGAGAGCCTTTCTCAAAGGATGTCATTCAGTCTTCAGAATTACTGAGCTTTCACTGCGTGCCCGTTTTGTGACAGAGATATAGAAGAATTAGATGCACTCTGCACCTTGTTCACATCTCTCTGAGCTTGGGAGGGAAGTCATGTGCATCAAATAGAGAATATTTTAGCACATAGTAAATTGCTATACTGAATGAGTACAGAATTGAGGAGAAATGGGTTTCAGTGTTTTGAAGACATTTAATAAGCATTGATGAAAAGATACCGTTCTGTTGATGAGAAGCATGGTAAAACACCTCATTTGCACTGAAGGAACAAAAACTAAAATGAGGAAGGTATTATGTGTATTGCTAGATAAATATTATTAGTAAGAGAAACTTTAAGAATCACCCAAGAGTGATTCTGGGACTACAGAAATGACTCAGTGGTTAAGACAGGACACTGCTCTTACAGAGCAACTAAGTTGGATTCCCAACACTCAGGTTGGGTGATTCACAGCCACCAGTAACTTCAGCTCCAGGGGCTCTGATGCTCTCTTCTGATCTCCATGGGTAACTGCACCATGTCCACATATCCCTACATAAATACACATTCCCATACATAACTAAAAATAAGTAAACAAATAAAAGGAAAGAATCACCCACGAGAAGCTAGGCATGGCAGCACACACTTGTAACCTCATTGGTTGGGATCCTGAGATGAGAGAATGGCAAAAGATAAACTCAAAAATTCTGAACCCACAAAGATCCAACTTATTAATTTTACAGATGAAAAAAAAACTTTATCCACACAAATTCAGATATTGATGAAGTCAGCAAATGATTATTGGCATCCTAAGATTAAACCTGGGCTCAGCATACTGTTGCATAGCATGGAGTACTACAAACCCAAGCTCAGTACACTGAATTCTGGCAGAGCCTGACCATCAATTCAATACACAGAGCCCAAGTCTTTGACAATTAGAAAGACTTCTCAGGTTGTAACATGCACAGAAGCCATTGGGAGATTAGTGTAAAAATGCAGGTGTTCACAGTGCAAAGCTAGGATTGAACATCATTGATGTACTTCTTGGTGTTGCTTATTTGCCCTGAGGCCCACATGAAAGGAACAATGTGATAGAGAGCCTTCTATAGCTTACAGAGGTCACTTTGTGCTCTACAGGACTACTCAACTGTCCTTAAACATGGGAAACCAAATATTCATTTGGAATCTGATGAAACTGTGGGCTCCACCAGAAAGGTGTGCATACACATAAAATTTTGTATAAAATACCAGCATTTTAAGAACATCCCCACTACAATCCACAAATGATAGAGCTCAGGAAGTCAAGTGAGGCATCGCTGGGCACAAGGCAATTTTGGATTAGAGAAACAATTCTCGACTTGCTTTCTCATGTGGTTGCTTTTGTTCTGGGAACAGATTTTTTTCTATTTACCCCGAGACTATACTGGAATCCACTACGTGGCCCAGTCTGGTCCCCCATCTAAGTCTATCAAGTGCTTAGATTACAAGTATGAACCACCTTGTCCAGCTTCTTTTGAGGATTCTTAATGTTTCTTCTATTAATAAGGTATTTCTATTAATGCATGAATTAGGTTCTGCATTTTAATTTTTACTTCTTTAATGCAAATGAATTTTACTGGATTTTGATGTTGGGGCTCTCTTAAAGTCATAACAGAGTTTCTTCGTGAAAAAAAGAGAAGTCAGGATTCAAAAGAGACTTTCAGAAAGTAAGGGCAGACAGCCTCTGGGACACAGAATAACTCGCTCTGAAGTCTGTCATGGAACAGAGGAGGAATGCTACTGAACAAAATTGTCCGTGTCTCTAGTCTGTTTCATGGTTTGAATGAGAATGTCCCCCTTAGGCTCCACGTATTTGGATATTTTGTCCCCAGTTGGTGGTGCTGTTTTGGGAGGTCTTAGAAGGTGTGACCATGTGGAGGAAGCATGCCTCTGAGGACCACCTTTGAGTTTTTTAAGTGTTGTTGGATTTCCAGCCGCTCTGTTTCCTGTGCCTGCTTGAAGAGTGAGCTTTCTGCTCTGCCCACCTGCTGCCACCATGGTTCCCACCATGACAGACTCTCAATTCCTCTGAAACTGTACACTGTCAGGACTCGGGTTTGCTTTGCTTAGTGGGGGACCTACTGGCTTCGGGTCAGAGGGTCTGATCGGCGACAGAGTCATAAACTCTGGGACCTGTGTCTTCCCAACAGGACAGTTTATTTTAAAATTCAGATGGTTTTTATACATCCCAACAAAGAAACAGGACATACAGTATGTTAGTTGGCACCAGAAGTGTGCTTAAACTTTTACTCAAGATTATCAATGCCCATCTGGTAATTTATTGGCCACAATGTTTTCTTTCTTAGAGCTAAAACATGGAGAGCTTTTAGCTTTTAGCTCCAGAGTAAACCTTTAACC